AGCCTAACTAGTGTTCTATGCAAGTGCATGGAAAAGCTAATCAGGACTCATGTCTGTACCCACCCTTTAGAGTATATATTACTTAGCGTGTTCCAGCATGGTTTTATGAAAAACCGGTCGTGCCTGACTAACCTCTCATGCTAACTTGACGAAGTCACAGAGAGGGTCGACGAAGGTAGAAAATTAGAGGTATGTTACCTAGATTTCAGTAAGACTTTCGATTCCGTAAGTCATGGATTGCTTCTGCACAAGCTAAGTTTTTTCGGAATCACAGGGGCAGTATGTTATTGGATAGCAACATTCCTGACGAATAGGACATTCTGCGTCAGGGTAGTTGAACAAATGTCACCGGTCCATCATGTCACTAGTGGCGTACCACAAGGGTCGGTGTTAGGCCCGCTTCTATTTCTGTTGTTCATAAATGATCTAGCACAAATTACTAGTTCACCTTGCTTCATCTTCGCTGATGCTGCAAAGGTGGTTGGATCTATTGGAAGAGCCGACTTAGAAGAGGATATTGCAAAGGTGGTCCAGTGGTCCCACACATGGGACCTGCCAGTAAATGCAGCAGAGAGCCAGTGGCTCTCAAGAACCCAGGAACCATTGAAGGCTCTAGGTGACTGGGGGCAATTCGAAGTAGGCACTGTAACCAGAGCCAGGGATCTAAGAGTCATAGTAACTGCAGTTTACAGTTGGGGTCCCCAATGTGAAGCTGCAGCACACACAGCAAGACGATAACTGTTTCGGCTAAGATCAGCAGTTTCGTGTAGGAAAACANGTTCAGGCTTGGTCGCCCTTCTACAAAACGGACGATGCCTGTCTGGAGCGGGTCCAGAGACTAGCAACACGGATGGTTGAGGGTATGCGGGGAAAAACATACAAAGAGAGATTGTACGCGCTCGGTCTTCTTTCACTAGAAAAAACGAGATTGTGCGGAGACCTCATCGAAGTATTCAAGATTAAAACATTTTGTTCGGTCTACATCCTGGGTCCTTCTTTACTGAGGCTCCTCACCAAGGAATGCGTGGACATGAGCTCAAACTCATGAAACAGCGTTCTAGACTGAACTTACGACCACATTTCTTTGTCAACAGGGTAGTGGATAATAGGAATAAGCTACCGTCGGAACGGATTATGCATTCAAG